CGACGTGATTCTGCAATCTGCATTTGGGGTAAAATTGGGAGTTCATAACCCATTTCAATCTAATGTATGAAATATGATATGTCAAGAGCTTTGTAATGTTGTGAACAACCAATAAAAATTTAAAAAAGAAAAAAAAAAGAAAGACTCGATGTAAGAGGCAATGACGATTTGGAGACTTTTCACACTTAATCAATTTATATTTGGCTAACAGTAGGGTTTACAACATGTGCTTGTGTGTGCGCGTGCATTCACTCTTGTTCTCTCTCTCTCTCTCTCTCTCTCTCTCTCTCTCTCTCTTTCACACACACACACACACACACACATTTACAATTTATTGCATACTACCACACTTCAGTGACCAATGGATTTGCCCAAATCTAAGAAATAGTTAATAATCAACCAGTATTTAAATTTAAGGCTACCCAACAGAAAACTTTGGTTCTTATATACTAATTTTGGAAAAAAATCCTGACACAGGGTAAGAAGCTAGTTGGAGATTTTGACTCTTTAAGGATTCTGCGGAGGCACATAGCAGTACAATACTGATATCATTCCAGAACACTGGACAAGTGGCCTTTACAACCTCATGACACCTGTCCAGTGCTAAGGTCTGTCCTCCTCCTGTCTCCCTTCCAGGTTTGTGTAAGTTGGGTAGCCCAGGCAACCTCGGTGATCAGAACCTAGTGATGAGGACACTGGCTTCATTGCTCAGTTAACACCTCGTCTTGTTACCTGTAGCCAGAGTGCTTTCTATCTCCTGGGGCAGGACGGGTATTAGGCATGGATGCTAGGGTAAATACATAYGATTTAAATTGAGCCCTGTAGCCCTGAAGCCCTGAATACTGCCACAGAGACTTCCATAAAGCCCTGGGCAGCTGCAGAAGTGAGTTTGTGCCCACTGTGCTCAGTGGTCTACTTTCACAAATATGACCAAAGCCAGAGCACTAGGAGAGGCTGTAGCATTTCCAGACAGGCCCTTCCTCCACCCTTTCTTCCTTCCTCTCCCCTTCAGGAGGATTCTGTCAGTCATTGATAAGAAAATCACTACTTGAGCTAGAGCATGCTGCATGCTCTCCTAGTCCAGAGCCTCTCCCCACAGAGGCCCCTCCCAGACTAAACCCTAGGAAACCAGGAGGTGTGCTAATTCAGTGCTACTCCTACTCCCACACTCCTTCCACTACATGACACCTATTTAGAGCCCTCTTGTACACAGATGTCTGGTGCTTGGTCATAAAGCCCCCTTCCATCATCAGTCCCTATTTGGAGAGCCCCTGAATCCTAGGTTTTACTCCTCCATGTCTCCATCCTTTGAGAACAGAGCTCCAAATATCTAACCTCTTCACTAACCATGACTACACGTGCCAACATTCTGCACCAAACAACAAGGCAAAGCTCAGTTTCCCTCAGTAAGTTAATACAAAAATAGATATTTTAAAAGGCCTAAAAGTATCCTGAGAGGTTCTRTGTGGGAGAAAAAAAGTAATAAGCAATTTCAGTACAAATTCTTTATTGCATTCAATTGAGGACCAATGTCCACCATACTGCGGGGCCATATGATGGTAGACAGTTAGTGACTGTAGTTCTATTTCAACCTGTGGTATATCTAATTCAGTATGGTTAGAAGACAGGTCACAAAGTCACTCCATGGAATTTACTCCATTATATGACCACTTAGGAAAAATAAAACACAGTTGTCACTGTTTAGAAAGTTCAACAAAGCATGTGGGAAAACATGGTAACTGAATTTACCTTAAATTTGACATCAGTTTTCTTGCCGTTTCCTTGACAATTGTGCTTTGAGAAGATGTCACCAGTGAAGATGCAACTTTACAACCATCACTCACAGAAACTTTGGCTTCATGTCCAGAAATTGGACTTAAATCTTCCATTGTCATACAGGAAGAGCTGAGGTGCATAATTCCAAAGTAGGAACCACATTAGATACTAATAGTTTCAGAAACAAATGTAATCTTAATACACAACAAATAAAAGGGCATAAATTTCCAAATATGTAAAATATAAAATAAGTTCTTAATTAGACTTATCACTATTTATTCTGATCATATATTGTGTCAAGTTTTGGGGTGGCCACAACTAAATAGCATTGGTGATAATTTATTCTTAATGACACTAGTCATTTAACACTTGTTTCTTCTCTGCAGGAAGAGACTTAAGTTCTGTTTTAAACCCAGAGAAATGCATTGACATAAAACCAAAAAGAATAAAGACAGTTAAGAAAAATAGCTAGCAAAGATCCAGAGGAAGAGTGCTCCAGGTAAAGTGTAATGATCCTGGGGTAGAGAGCTGTTCAAGGAAGAACGAGAAGGTCGAAGCTGGTGGATGGAGGAAGCAGGAAGCAGAGGGAGAAGGCTGAGGTGAGAGAGCGTTGGTGGCCTCAGAGAGGGAACTGTGTTCCTTCCACGCAGAAGGCACTAGCATGGGAAGGTTTTAGGCATGGAGGCAGGATGATGAGAAACAAGTTTTAAAAGGACCCCTGGATGTAAAATGGAAAATACATCACAGTAAGGAAGCACAAAATAGGGTAGCATGTTATGGACACCAAAGATTTTGGAATGGTGGGAACAGAAAATTTCAAAAGGCCAAAGGTAGTAAAATATGCAAAGTGAAGATGGGTAGAGGTCAGATCATGCAGAGCCTTATGTATCAAGTAATAAAAAGATTTCTGTAATTCTATCACACAGACACAGTTCCTGAGAGGTTTATGTGTTTATATGGAGAGGGCCTTTTAGAATTGGACAATAGTTTATTTCAAATGGAATGTACTTCTATTGTGAACAGTTCTTTGGCTTTAATTATACTGTCTAACTTCAGCTGACTTTTTAAAAAAATATTAAGAATACTGTATAAATGAATGCATTTCTATTAAAGAATATTTACACAATGTCTAAATGTTCATTAATTATAACTTCTTTTATGCTAACATTTTAGTAAGAGAAATATTCCTTTAAAAAATTTTTCAGGGATGCTGGAAATTCATGTTGGTGTTGGGAACAGAAGGCAAAATAAGCTACATCAGATCATAGGATATACCTTTCTTAACCTTTTTCTGTCAAAAAATTCTAGGGCCTACCTTGCAGAGTTGTGTTGAGGACTAAATGGATATACAAAGACTATATCTCAATGCTTGGTAGTAAGTACTTGTCAAATAGAATCCAATAATTATTATGATCATCCTTATCATCACTATCATTAGTAATACATTTCATAAATGTCTTCCATTAAGATTGCTTTAGTTGGGTTGTAGTTCTGACATTCATATTGTATTTGAGTCAACAATGATTTTAAAAACCTCCACAACTTAATAAATATCTAAAAGTGATAGAAAACAATACGTGCACAATTATGTTTTAGTGTCTGCATGAATCTTAAATTATAGCTCAAATTTTAATAAATAATTCTAGATTAAAGCATTTTCCATGGAAAAGCCTAGCAACAGCACTGAAGGAGGGAATGCATTCATTCATTCAATCAACAGATACTGCTGATTATGAGTCTGGTGCCATTTTGGATACAAGACTGACTCTGTCCCATTGGAGTGAGTTAGTGACTAGTGGAAAACAAACAAGCAAGCTAGAATTAAAGTGGTAAAAAAAATGGATGAGTAAAACAGATAATTTAAAACAGTAATCAGTGCTTTGAAAAATCCAGCACAGAATGACTTCATCGTGGGAATGTGACTTGCCACCATGGGCAGGTTTCTTTTCTCAGGGAAGGCCTCTCAGATTCAGGGTTACAAAGAAGGCAAGATAAGTCTTTAAGGAGCATCTGTGCAGTGCAAAGACGGATATTTGACCACACAATTCTATTTGACTTACCCTTGTGGGTCAAAACTTTGCTAGTGTTTATCAAATAATTATTGAAATTGAATCAGTACAGCAGTGACTCTGTGAACACCTGGGTTTTCCTGGGAGAGTCAGAAAAGAGTGCTTGAACTGAGGCTTGAATGAAAGGATAAGGGAGATGGGTACACAAGTTGCAGAGGACACACAAGCAAGGGAAGTAGTGTAGACAAACAGGTGATATAATGTGATGAAATAATCTATAAGTAATTTGGAACTTCATGAAAGCAAGGTGTTGATTAGAAGGAGGGGCAGGAGTGAGGTCTGTACCTGACCTTAAAAGCAATAGGGCTACAGAGGCTATGGAAGGTGCTCTGGTTTGGATGGGAGGTGTTGCCCAAAAGCTCACATGTGAGGACAATGCAAGAAGGTTCATAGGAGAAATGATTGGGTTGTAAGAGTCTTAACCCAATTAGTGATTTAATCCCCCCACAGGGATAAACTGAGTGGTAACTAAAGTGGTAGAGTGTGGCTAGAGGAGGTGGAAATTGGGGCATGGCTTTGGGTATAATATATGTGTATTTGGCCAGTGGACTGTCTTTGCTTTCTGATCAACATGTGATCTGCTTCCCTCTGCCACACTCTTCCATCATGAGGTTCTGCCTCACCTGAAGCCCCGAGGAATGGAGCCAGCCTTCTATGGAGTAAGACCTCTGAAAAAGTGAGCCCTCAAATAAACTTTTTCTCCTTTAAAATTGTTCTAGTTAGATCCTTTAGTCATAGCAGTGAAAAAGCTGACTATAACTGAAGGTTTCTGAATAGAACAGTAGAGTTGGATTTTAGTGTTGGAGTAACTACTGTTACCAAGTACAGGGAAATGAAAGGTCCTCTGTCTTTTCTTGCCCTTAATTTAATGTGCTGTTATGTAAGGGGCACAGCATCTGAATTCAGAGAAACTGAATCTGAATACCTGAAAACTCACTTAAATAAATCTGTAGTAGAAGTTAAGAATCTTCTTTTTTGAAAGCATTCTTTTAGTTCTACCGGGTATCTAAAATATCCAGTTGATTTTATGAGTGATAAAATTCTCATGTCAAGGAAAGTCTAGAATGCAATTATAATAATAATTATAGTCATATCAGGCAGTAAGTCAATGACCCACACATGAAAAAAAGTCAGTTTGTGGTTTCACAGTCATACCTCATATGTGTTGACATTTTAGTGCTTTGACTACGTCATAGTAACCAGAACTGTTTACTTGCAGTGGRTAGAAAGCTAATCCTGCTCCATTTTATTATTCCCAAATTCTCACAAAAGAAATGAGAAGGTTCGGGGGAAAGGTGGATTTTCATTCTTTCTTGTCTCTGTTGTAAAATTTGGTTCTATTCTTAATTGCCTTTGTTGCTACTATTTTCTTTCGTCTTGTATTGAAACATTGATAATTACTTTTCAACAGTATAATTGCACTTACTTGGAATTTCTATAATTGTAGTACACTCACCTTTCCTGGTTAGGAAATGAAGAGTTTCTTTTTATTGCTGGAGTATCACTGCACAGCTCCTGTTTTTCTTCATAAGGACAGAGACAAAATGAAGACAATTTTGATAATCACACAAAAAACGGAACCAAAGGAATGTTGACTGTTACATTAACTATATGATTTAGTTCTGATTCAAATATCCACCTGTAAATTGCACCAATTTTGAGGCAATCTATAAATATGTTCTTTAGGTATTTTATAATAATTTTAATAAGGTATGTAATACATATATAATAATATTACAYATATAATAATAATTCAAGAGTCTCTGTTATGTGGGTTGCTTATATACATATTTTTATGGTGTTTATTATGAGTGTATGGGTGACTGATCAGGACTGTTGATAGTCCCTGCTCTCCCCAACTTCTGCCAAAATACACACTTGTCTGCCCTCTACTATCTTATTCTCTCTCATTTTGAGTTCCAGTTCAAAGCTATTCTGACAGATCCCCATGAAAAATGTGTCACCAATAGAGAGCTAAACTTGAAAGCAGAAAGAGACCAGAGTCACATGTCAGTCTTTTCACTCAAGGGACCTCAGGCTGATGATCTGTTCCTAGTCCTTTGTAAGTAGAAATATAAGCCTCCTTTGGATTGGCTAGGAGTCTTGGAGACAGTGTAAGCAAGGAGTCAATCTGTTCTCCTTCCTTTCTTCTCTATAATTCTTTGTTAAAAATACCCAGATATCTTGTTCTATTAAGTAGACCTCTGTGAATAAGTTTAGGGATATTGAAGGTCAAGGAGAACAGGACACAAAGAAGGAAAGTTTTACATGGTGGGAGAATGCTGAGGATCTGCCAAGTTCTTCAAGGAAAACATAAAAAAAAAACAGGTGGCCAGAGGTTTTCCAAGCACAGGGTAAGCACCGTTGGCTGTACTTTCTGACTTGCATACAAAGTAAAAAATTTTAACTCAATAGTCAATTAATCTATAATTACAATCATTTAAAAAATATTTTACAATTTGTTCCTGCCAAACCCAGGATGGATATTTAAAATCAAATATTAATTTCAGGATTAAAGTTATAGTAACAATTTTTCCATTACAATCTGGAAATTCGTGAAGGCACAGTAATAGTTTGAAACATCTACAAAAGATCAGCTTTAGAATTAAGAGAGCCTTACAAAAGAAATCCTGATTGAGGAATTACAAATCATCCTAATTAAGATGAAAAAGAAAAATTGTGATTTCTTAGGGACACTAGTAAAGGGCTTGAAAACATAAAGTTGTGAATGAATCGCTGATTAGGTTACCTAAGCAACAGAATGTGCAGGAAGGAAGAGTTGACCACCAAAGTGAACACAAAATGATGGCATGGGTTGGCACCAAAAAGGGCTGGAAAGATAAAGCCAACCGAGCAGGGATTCACTAAAAAGACTAAGAAGTGATTTCAAGCTTATTTCAGAATAAAGACAAGAATGATGAAAATAATGTATGTGTTGCCAGGGCCCAATGAGATAACATTAAAATAAAAAGAGAATGGGATAATAATAATATAATGCCTAATGCAAGAATTATAGTAATGATGACGAATGAACACTGAGAAACGAAAATATTCCAAATTCAATTTGTTTCAATTATTTTTAAATTGAGGAGATTAAATTTGACTTRAATATCATGAGGGCAAGTTTATGCTTTAAATATACATATACATATATATCCCACAGATGAAAGAACTCATAAATCCATATGTTTAAATACTCTTATGGATTTCAGAGGAATCATGGAAAGCAGGAAAAGAGCTAAACAATTAAAATAATGAATTTCATTACAATTTTCAAAACAGATTCTAAAAATGATAGACCTGATCATCAATCCTTGGCAAAATTCTAAATAAAATTCAATGTGGAGAGTGGCACAAGTCTATGGATATTTCAGGCAGTGTGGCAGTTTGGGARACCTGGTTCTCAACCCAATTCCAACCCAGACGAGGGAGATTAGCCCTTGATTCTTTCTCCATCCCTCCTTCTAGTTCTGGATGGAACAACAAATTTAATTTTTTAAAATCCAAATTGCTGGCAAACTTCTGATTATATCTCAGGCTGTCTCAGAAGCCCTATGGAAAGTGGTTCAAATATTAGAGCTAATCTCTGTAAAATTATTTATTTTTACCTTCGTTTATGAGTGGAACTTCCTTTTGTTCTTGTTTCAATGAAACATCAGTGCTGCTTTTATCTAAAACCTGAAAGATAACCTCATTATTTAAAATTGTACCAAAAACAAGGACATACGACAGGGTTAAGAAAATACCTTGAAGAGCAGTGCCCATGTCAGAGAAAAGAGATCATACTGCTACCACAGTAAAGCTATTACAGGTTTTAGAGGAGAGAACAGTACATGTGATAGAAAACAATACTGTTGTGCCACAGGAAGACCACATTACCAACCTCATGTTTACTGTTACCATGTTACCATTTCTTTCTTTTCCTTTTTTTTTTCTTTCTTTCTTTTTTTCTTGCTACCGGGGATCGAACTCAGGGAGCACTCGACCACTGAGCCACATCTCCAGCCCTGTTTTGTATTTTATTTAGAGACAAGGTCTCACAGAGTTGCTTAGCGCCTCACTGTTGCTTTGGCTGACTTTGAACTTGAGATCTTTCTGCCTCAGCATCCTGAGCTGCTGGGATACTGTTACCATTTCTTTAATAGGATTTTCATGTTTCTACTGATTCTTGCATACCTAATTTACAAACTGTTATTTTATATGAATGCAACTATGTCTCCAACAAATAAATCAAGTATTTGATTTACCAGGAACAACCATCAAGCCTCTGTCATTTCAAGCCTCATCATAACCCCAGCTGCTCCAAAGGAGACATAGTGCAGGAACTCAACACCAATGCAAGGAAAACTTTGAGGAGGTGGGGACACCAAAGCATGATGGAGAGCTCACCTGGAATGTTGGGGAATGTGCTTTCTCTCATCTTCTGGTAGAATTTCTGGGAAGCTACCTAAAAGTCTTAATGTGTTGCATGCATGATCCAGAAGGGCTAGTGGCACCTGGAGTGAGGGGATGTGCATGTGTGATGTGGAGAGTCCGGGTGGAGAAAGGGTGAGGGTGGGTGGGGCACAGGTGGAACGTAGGGCGTGCCACTCATAAGTCACATCTGCGTCACTTTGGGAATGCTGAAAGAAGCATTTTACAAGGCTCACATAAAACAAACATAGAGTACTAAAGTTCTTCAGATGAGACAGAGAGACAGAGATGGGGGAAAAAGACAAACAGACAAATAGATAAAAAAGATAGAGAAAAATTTATATGACCTTCAGGGGAAAAGACCCAGAATGCTCCCTTTATGTATTTTGTAAATCTGTAAGAAGGTAGAAAATCAGGCAGTTTTTAAAGAACAGAGAAAGAAAAAACCACCTGTCTGCTCTTTAATCTAAGACTCCTGAATACACAATGAGACAAAACTGTGTCCCTCACCTCTGTTACCTGGTGTAAAGTGTGGAGTTGTCAGGTATTTTTTTTTAAGTTTATTCATTGAATATGTATCCTTTGCCTTTAAAGCCCCTCTAGCCTGCTAAATAAACATGGTATGGAGAAGATGTCAACCTACCTCCTCTTCCTGTCCCAGGAAACAATGACATATTTGTACATAGCACTCTGGAAACTTCTCTGTCAGGAAGGTTAAATGGGCACACATGTAGCCTAGCAACGAAGTTACTATGTAGCTTTCCAACATTGCCATTTTCTATTTCGTCCAAACAGGAAAAAAAAAAAAAATTGCCTCCCAGGCAGTAGAAAAAAAATAAAACTGCTCTTAAGCTACTGTTGTCCAATTCAAAATATGTTTATACTTACAATGCAAATAAGTGCATGATCCAGGAAATAATCAAAATGCATATTTTTAAAGGTTGATTTTGCAAAAATCTTGAAAATGACTTTAAAATGTATGCCTTACTTATTTCTGATGTAACATAAAATTTAAAGTTTTCTTCTAATGTGCTGAAATCTACATGATATAAGTGTTTCCAAATTTGGACTAAATATTTTTTGATCAGTTTAAAGCAGTATATACTATTTTCCAAAACAGTTAATAGTAATCACACACACACACACAAAGAAAAAGCTTATGAGATAACTTCTTAATGCTTTTAGTTATAATCACGTTGCTATAACCCACGATGATCTTATTCACAATGTGTTACTTTTCTTTAGTGACTTTTTCTTATGAACTTGATGAACTTGAACAAGATGCAAGTATCCAAGACTCTTTTTTAATTACTATTTTCATCAGAGAACAACTGTTGGTAGTGTTATTAACACAGCTTCATGAAATTAATTATTTTTACATTCTATTGTTGACTCCTCTCCTTTGAACTCTGCCTTGCTAGGACTGTTTCCATTGAGGATGGTATCTGCCCTCACTCCAAAGATGGTACGAATACAAAGTTGACCATTTCTATTGAAGGAGAGATTTATTTTGCCTTTCCRTCTGTTCTTTATTCTTTAACTTGCAAGCATAGAAATGTTTAAAACATTTTTTTTATAAATTCACTGCCTATAGTATCTTAATAACACCATAAATATCTGATTTCATAAGATGCTGCTTTTAGTACCATGTAGTTGTAGTGTTGAGGATCTGAATGCTTTCAAGGTGAGACAAGGCATGTGGCTATCTTTGAAAAGCCTTCATTTATATGTTTTTATCTTACCTACAGAGCTSTTTCATGTACATGAATTCATTTTGTTAGAGAAGTGTCTTCATTTGCTCAGGCTTAGCTGTGGCTCACACTCTGCAGTTTGGGAATATCTCTTTCCTAAGATTTTTACCTAAATCATGCAACAGATAACACCTCCCACACAGTAAATGAGATTACAGTTAAGTCTTAACATGAGATTTAAGACACTTTAGTTACAATTAATTTAACAACAAGCAGGGTGGGACTTGTCAGTTCTCCAAGGAACTCAAAGGATAAGGGTAATGCCACATTTTCCATTTTGTAAAATATTTATTTAAGAAGATAAATAAATCACGAAGAAGACGAAACAATAACATACCTCAGAAAGCTGTGTAATACCTATCTCATTAACTGCTGTTAAAGGAAACTCAAGAACTGGATGTCACTTTATCTGTCTCTTTCCTTCTATTGCCTTGCCCTTCTCTCTCCACCTCAGTCCCTATTCACCAGACCAGGACATGTCTTCCCACCAGATCCAACAATCCTTTCTGCTTTCACTCTTCCATGGTTAACATTATTTCCCAGATCCTTCCCCTTCACTCATTAATCTATTAATAAAATTCCCAGCATGAGTCAGACACTGTCATGGTGAAGAATTCAAAGTCCTGCCTTTGTGGAACTTATTTTTCTAATAAGGAAGAAAGACATAAACAAATAAAAACATAAATATGCAATATAATATCAGGTGATGCAAACTCACTGAAGAAAAATAATATAAGCGAGCGAGAGAGAGAATAACAAAGGTTCCTGTCAGTGGTGCTGTTTTCACCCCATGCCCCACTCTCTCACACGCCTCTCCAGCTCTCAGGCTCTGTGTACTACAGACTTGTTGATCCCTCAGCTTTTTCTAGTCTTTCCTCTGGCATCTCCTTGGTACATCCTGTGCCAAAAACTGATCACTATGCCAAAATTGCCAAAAATTGCAACACTCACCATATCTAGCACTGACACCTCCTGTCCTCTTCCTTGTAACTGGACTGGCATTTACCATTATCTGTCATGCAAAATGCTTTACTTAATCATCTTGTCTCTTGTCTGATCCCCCCACTAGAATGGACACTCCCTGAATATAGGGAGCATTGTCTGTTTTTCTTTATCCTGCTGGATTCCCAATACCGTAGATCAGTAACTGATAACACACAGAATAAAAGGTAAAAAAGCAAGTCATGAAGACATGGGTGGTATTGGTGGTATGGTGGGGATGGTGTGTGTAGTGGAGACCAGGTAGTAACAAAGGAAAAGACTTAGGTTCACATTGCTCTCCTTACCAGTATTCATAGAATTTAAGTTACTTAACATGATAGGACATTTTGGGCTTTGTATTTATTTGGTATCTCTTGGGGTGCTGGAAGCCAAGGTATAGTCCCTTTGGCTCCAGGGGACTGGAGAAGGGATGAACAGTGGAGGTGAGGCCACCAAAGACATTGGGGTAAAGTCATCTGGCCAGTCTTCTAGGGCTTTGGGAACTACAGCAAGGAAACCAAATTATTTTCTAAGAATGAGAAGCCTTTGGGGGATTGAGAGCAGGAGAATGGCATAATAAAACTTGTCCTTCAAATGGACTACTCAGCTTTTTAAGTTCGTGGAGGAGAAAATAGATCACTTTTAGGCCTGCCATTGTGTCCCTGGAAAGAGATGTGGTGAGTTGGCCAGGGTGGTAGCTGCAGAGGCAGGAGGACAGGTTCCACGTGTGAAGGCTGATTGACGAGACAGGCTGTGGGTTGACTGCAGGCTGAGAAAGGAGGAGAGAGATTCAGCATGATTCCAAGGCTAGGGTCTGGGTTACTGAGTGGTGGTGCTATTTATTAAATTAGGGAAGTGTGAAGATGTTGCTTGGATCCTTTGCTCTCTTGATTTCTGTAACCCTCTGTGTCTTAACTCTCCCTGGGTAACTTATTCTTTCCTGACTACTCTCAATTCCTCAATGGACTTATTAAAATTTCAGGGGGCTAAGCTAGTGTACTTTATTGTATAAACCATGGCTTTATCAGTATTAAACAACCCTAACTTTTCACCTTTGCTCCAGCTACATACAACTCATCTTCATGAATCTCACATTCAGATATCCTGCTGAAAGTTCAAATTTTCAGTCTTATTTTTGTCCACTTAGTCGCAGTCCCTGATCACCTGTCCTCTTCTTATTTATAACACCATTTTTTTTCCAGATTGCTACTTCGTTTTTTTCTTCATATTTTTATGGGTGCATTATAATTATACATAACAATAGAAGTCACTGTTACATATTCATATGTGCACASAATGAGATAATATAACTCAGTCAGTATCAAGTCTCAGTATCTTCCCTCTTCCTTCCCTCCTCTGTTTTTCTGGACCCTTCCTCTACTCTCCTAGTCTGTCTTCTATTTTCATGAGATCCCCTACACACACCTTTTTTCCCTGGGTTGGCATTTCAACATTGCTTTATTTAGTCTTTTATTTAGTCTTTTATTGTGCAGTGTTTCTCTCTCTCTCTCTCTCTCTCTCTCTCTCTCTCTC